CTTCTCTCTTCAGACCCGAGAAATCATCGCTGATTCCATCGAGTCTGTAACTTGCGCCCAGCACCATGACGCCAACATCTCTATTCCTGGCTGTGACAAGAACATGCCCGGCACTGTAATGGCCGCCGCTCGCCACAACCGCCCCTTTATCATGATCTACGGCGGTACCATCCGCAAGGGTCACTCTAAGCTCCTCGAGCAGCCCATCAACATCAGCACATGCTACGAAGCTTCTGGTGCTTTCACCTATGGCCGACTCCACGCCAAGACAAATCCTGGTGAGGCTGGCCGTGAGAGCTCTGATGTCATGGATGATATCGAGAAGCATGCTTGTCCCGGTGCTGGAGCCTGTGGTGGTATGTACACGGCTAACACTATGGCTACTGCCATTGAGGCTATGGGTCTTTCACTGCCTGGCTCTTCATCATACCCCGCCGAGTCCCCTGAGAAGCGTCGCGAATGTGAGCGCGCTGCTCAGGTTATCCGCACTACTATGGAGAAGGATCTCCGTCCTCGCGATATCATGACCCGAGCTTCTTTCGAGAACGCTCTTGTTCTGACTATGATTCTGGGTGGCTCTACAAATGGTGTTCTTCACTTCCTCGCCATGGCCAACACAGCTGGTGTACCCCTGACCATAGACGATATCCAACGCGCCAGTGACAGAACCCCTTTCCTCGCCGATCTAGCCCCCAGTGGAAAGTACTACATGGAGGATCTGTACAACGTTGGTGGAACACCCTCCGTTATCAAGATGCTCATCGCCCGTGGTCTTCTTGACGGCAGCATCATGACGGTCACCGGCAAGACTCTTGCCGAGAACGTGGAAGACTGGCCCAGCCTGGACCCTGGCCAGGATATTATCCGCTCTCTCGATAACCCTATCAAGGACTCCGGCCACATCCGAATTCTACGAGGAAACTTTGCCCCAGGTGGTGCTGTTGCTAAGATTACTGGAAAGGAGGGTCTGTCTTTCACTGGCAAGGCTCGTGTATACGACACTGAGAAGATGCTCAACGCTGCCCTGAACAAGGGTGAGATCAAGCAATCCGACGGTAACTTAGTCGTTATTGTTCGATATGAAGGTCCCAAGGGTGGCCCCGGTATGCCCGAACAACTGAAGGCCTCTGCAGCCATCATGGGTGCTGGTCTCTCGAATCTTGCCCTCGTCACAGACGGTCGATACAGTGGTGCCTCTCACGGCTTCATCGTCGGTCACGTCGTGCCTGAAGCCATGGTCGGAGGCCCTATCGCTCTGGTCAAGGATGGAGACGTTATCACCATTGATGCTATTAGAAACCGCATTGACGTCGATATCACTGACGAGGAGATGGAGAAGCGAAGGAGTGAGTGGAAGGCTCCTGAGCCTAGAGTCAAGAGAGGTGTGCTGGCCAAGTATGCTAAGTTGGTCGGAGATGCTTCTCACGGTGCCGTGACAGATCAGTGGTAGATATACAAGACTGACATGGACAGCAAAAAATGAAAAAGGGAATATTTACGTTAAGAGTGAAACAACACCATCATCTCGCATGCTGTGAACAAGAGTTATCACGACCGTATAATTTAAGAGCAGCGACTTGTATAAACTGGGCAGGCTTGATTTCTATTATGAATGAGCATTGGAAACTAAAATGAATGAAGGGTATCGAGCATATCCACACGCTTCTCTGTCTCCCACTAACGCTCCTCTTTCAACCCATGCATAACCACCTTCTTGCTCTTGTCTTGATACACAAATACATCTTGCACGCATAAATATACTTTGAAAACACACAACGGCTTCTCTCCTCTCCCGTAGTTATATCCAATCACCACTCAACATCCCCCCATATTATCTCGGCGCTTTCATCGACAGGCTCGTCATGCGCTGTAGCAAATGATCCTTGGTGACTCTCTGGCGGACTCTAGTCACCCAGGGGCATGCCCTCAAGCTCATCTAGCAATCGTCGCCAGTTGTCTGCGAGCATCTCGGCGTACTTGACTCGCTCACCAGCCCAGTCCTGATTCCATCGGCTGACTTGGTACTGAGTTGACTGGAAGGTGATGAGCTCGTCGCGGATACACTCCTTGACGAAGATGGAGCGATTGTGTTGCTGAACAATAGACTCCTTATCCTGATTCTTTATTAGTGCCTCCCCTTCTAACATCCCGGAGCTAGGCTTACCTTGATGATGTTTTCTGCTATGCGGTCGATCTCACCAGCCTTGACCACGCCTTCTGGCTTGGATCTCAAGTTGGCAAGCTTGTTCTCATTTGTCTGAATTCTTCGCTCCAGATAAGGAATATTATCTTTGTCCAAGCGCTCTCTTCGTTCAAACATCTCGCGCACGCTGACAAGAGCATCTCGTTGGCGCTTAAGGTCCTCAAGAACTCCCTCGTCCCATCCACGGCTCTCATCTTCCATCAAAGCTTGGCAAGTTCTGAGGTGTTTGCTCATGGCAACAAGCCCATCATTAAGAAGAGGAACCTCGTTGGTGTCAGTTGCGTAAGTATCCTCCGATGTTTCTGTCAAAGAGGCCAAAGAAAGAGCAATACGAGCGTGGTCAGCAGCCACGCCCTCGGTTCGCTTGACGAGACGATCCATGATGTTGCACACGTTAATGTAAAGTTCAGCAGATCGTTTGACGCCATTGCGTGTTCGGTTGAATAGATCCTCAAGTTCAGCTGGCAAAGAATCCTCCAAGCCAGGTGGTAGTGCTCTATCAGTAAACTCATCCTGAACAGAAATGGTAGCTTGCTTGCGCCACACAGATAGCTCCTGATGCTGATATTAGCTTCAGCAGTTGATTTACACTTGGTGGCAGAATCGACTTACTGTAGGAACGGTCAAGAACATGACGACAAGTTGTTCCTGGCTTAGAATCGGGTGCCTGATAAGGGCATTCAGGAAACGCGATAAACCTCTCCTTCGCTTTTCGATAAAAGCCCCATCGTTGGACAGATGGCTACCATTTACACCTACACGTTTAGGTGGAAGTAGCGGTAGAATACGGAATGGATATCTCTTGTGTAGGCAATCCAATAGCCAGACAAAGTCGCTGTATCTGCGAATAACCTTGCTACCGCGCCTTATGCTCGAGATTTCATAATTATGGTGCTGGAACATGAAAACGCCTTCCTTTTCCGGCATAAGCACAACAACGACATTCTCCTCGGCGCCGCGGCTAGCTCTACCACTGCTCGTATGGTGCTGAAGAGCTGGAGGTTGTGCAGTTGGGGTCAGATCGGGAGCTCCACCAAAGGGATTCTGGACAGGCCCAGAGGGAGATTCCCCAAAGCCTACAACAGGGTTGTTCCCATCAAAGTATCCCCATCCACCAGGCGTTGTCACCGAGTTGCTGCTATGCTGTCGCCGGCTGTTTGGAGACGTAGTGGCCCGGGGGGATGCAATATTGGGCAGAGGAGGAGCGTCGATTACTGTTGTCGGTGGTGTTTGGCCAAAGCCGGTATGGCCATTTGTGCTGTTTCGCTGGGTGCCGTTGGACTTGGAGGGACCATGATCATGGGTTTTATGCATATCAGGACTCCCCCATGGATCATCCTCTGGGTCATCCATGGCAGGTCGAAATTGCTTGGGCTGTTGTTGCGCGGGAGGAGTTTGTTGTTGTTGAGGAATATCTTTTGGAGGCGTCTGAGGCGGCTTCGCGGAAAGTTCAGCAACTGGAGGTAGGACGGGCTCTGCAGTGAGACCCGCGAGCTTGGGTTGCGGAAGACCTGTGATGGAAATGAGTTATTAGCTGGACCTGAGTAGTGTCTCCACCAAGCGCCGGGGGGGCATATGCCAGCACTGATATGACATCCATGGCACTGCATTGACCAGTTGATAGGGCAGCTTGTAAGTCTCGGCAAACAAGCGATTGACATGAGGGGAAAATAATCATGCGAAATGCGAATCGAAGGGATATGTTTACTTACGTTTTCGGCGCTCATCAACGCCGTCCAGGCTTATGACTTCGCCTTCTTGCGCAAGGCCTACCAAAGCCAGCAGCACGTTGAACTCGTTTCGACCTAGCAGGACATCCCCGCCTCCGGGAGCTACCAAGGACATAATGCGAGCTTGGGCATCAGCACCGAGTCTGGCAGTAGCGAAGAGTTTTGCGACACCACCAGAAGTGACCTGACCTCCGCTGCCATCTTCGCGCACTACTGTATCGAAGGTCTCGATATAGGCATCGGGCACGTCGCTACCAGGGAGGAGGTTGCGGATAAGATCGGCTCTGCTCTGCTGCTTGCGCGGCGTGGGCATGTCCCAAGGTGAATCATGGGAGTCGTTATCGTCAGCGAAGAGACTGTTGGATGGTTTTGGAGTTCCAGAGCCAGAGTCATCGTCGAAGAGTCCAGCACCGCCGCGACGAGCTGGACCAGTAGACGAGCCCAGACCTGGGCTGTCCTCCGTCGGTGATGAACCAAAAAGTGACATTATAACTTTCAGGCGAGCAGCGAATGTAAGATTATCTTGCGGCGCGTATCAATCTCGTCGATGTCGATCAGCCGAGTCGCGAATACTCGTGGAGAGCGTAGATCGATCGTCTAGATAGCGATTCGTAATCGAAGCCGCGAAGGGGACGATATACAGCGCAATCGAGTTGGGTGCGCGATATCGAGCCTGCGATGGAACAAAGCAGCAGCTACAGGAGTTGAAGCGAAGCCAATACGCAATACAGAAGCTCTAGCGACGAAATACACGCGAATTGAGAGGCAACTGGGAGGTTGGTGAAGTCATTCCAGGTGGAGAAGACCTGGGTCTGCGACATCAACTTAAACCGGACGGAGCTGTTGTGGAGCGTCATGGGTAAGGTACGTACCCCCCGACACATGCAACGGTTAAAATGGATTGGATGTTCCTGGAGACGCCACAGCCTGTCAAGACTGTGGCTGATCGCCAAAGGTTAATAAGAAACAAGTTCGTGAGTTCATTTGTTTGTACATTGCTTGTTATCACATCCAAGTGTCTACACTCGGTCATTATAATACAATTCTTCATATGCCCTTGCTAACTCTTAGAACAGAGTCTCCTCAGTGGCTGCCTTCTCCTTCTTAACCTCGCTCTTGATCTTGTGCACTCCAGGCACTCTGAAGTATAAACTGGGCGACTCTCCTGGCGCAAGCTGGTGGCTCAAGTATCCTCGGTGTGCGGGATCACGGTAGTACTCAATGTCCTCACGGCTGGTAGGGTCGGGTAATCGGTACCGGAAGGGTGCATCGCGGGCTGCGGCTAGCACAGTGTCGACGTGCTCCAATCCTTGAGGGAGAGGCTTATCTGTGTTGACAGACTGGCCTCGTAGGAGTCGTTTTATGGCCAGCTTGGTATAGTATCGGGTGACGACCTTGCCTCCAGCACCTTCAATAGCAGCAATAGCTCCAGCAGAAACACGTGAGACCATAACATCGATGGGCTGCTTAAGCATATCCGCACCTCGGGAAAGGACCTTGACGCCATCCTTGACAGTTCCAAGAATGCCACACTCGATTAATTCCTTCGGTGTAATCTGCTTGGTGGGGTCGATTCGTCCTTGGTCGATCCAAACCTGGATCTGGTCGAGGTTGACTTCCGACATCTGAGGAGCTCGGCTGCAAACTCGTTAGTCAATTGAACCACTGTAATTCCTGACTCTTCAAAATCTTGTCCGGATATTCGTAGGCGCCTCACAAGTTGCTGAAACCTTTTCGACCATGCTTGACGATCAAAGGTGTCTGACCACCCTGGAACCACGGCTTGACCTTTCCATGCTGCTTCTGACCCTTGTGACCACGACCAGATGTCTTTCCGTGTCCGGAAGAGGGACCACGACCAACTCGCTTCTTCTGGTGAACGGCGCCGGGGTTGTTGGCAAGACTGCTGAGGATGGACGCATTTCGGGTCTGGAGGGAGAGGCCGGAGAGGTAAGCGGTCAGCGATGAAACAGGAGCATTGGCAGTCGTCCTGCAGCACAGCGGCGTGCTAAAGGGTGAGATTCGAGGAGGCATCGTCGTGGAGAGGGCGCCGTGGCCGTGAGTCTGGAATTGATGCTGGCGATCTCGAAGTCGACGGTAACCAATTTTTTGAATGGCTTAGCGCAAGAATGCCAATCTGGGGCAGTGGATGCCTCAGGCTACAACTCATAGATATCATCAACGACAGGCTCAGAGTCAACATTTTAGAAGTTGAGATTGAAAATGATGAATTTATTATTAGTAGAAGACTTTATCAAGTCGTTTGTATCTTCATGAACCGTATAGAAGCCTCGACCTTCCAGAAAGAGGGAGCCATTGAAAACCCCCTCAAAGATATCACTTACACGCCGCCCTCACCCATTCATTAAGCACAGAGTACAAGCCCTTCCTTCGCCTGAACATCTTCATCCCATGCCGCATTTATCAAGAAGCAACATTGTCCGAAAGAGTGACAATCAGTTGCAGAGAGTCCTTCCCCCAAGGCTTTGCCTATCCCCAGCCGTGCCCGCGAGTCTTTCTTCCCTCACCTTAGCAGCGCGCTTAGCTCTTTTAATTCTCTTTCTGCGTCTGTAAATAGCCAAGCAGCCGACCCAGCCGAGAAATAATGCAATGAGAGGCATACCAATCACAAGAAATAAAAACATTGGATCGGTCGCGAACCTAGCTGGGTCATCGTCAGTTTTAGCCTGGCGGTGCTTGATCATCATGGTGCCCATCTGAACAATCGATATAGCTATGTTCGAGGCTACCCAGATAAACTTTGTAAAGCCAGCGATTAAATGAGTACTGTATAAGTCTTTCGGCTGGTTTCCGTTGTCTCAGCTCAAAACGTCCAGTTTCGTTGTTAACGACACTCTGTCGAAATGCTTGGCTGATGGAAGTCTAGCACAACTGTCGCCTAGAAGGATAACCTGTCTCTTGGTTTCGTCCTGGGATATTGACTGTAGTAGAGATGAGATATTCTGGCTGACATCGTGGGTTTATATGGATGAAGAACTACCTAGTAAATCCTCATAGAATCTTGTAATCGCGGAAATCGTGAAGAGGAGACGATGTGCAAAATGGATCAAACAGTGAGGACAACACTGATATATAACATCAGGTGGTAAACTCTAGGTTCGTATAAATCGACATTCTTGTGCTTTCATCATCCTTGTATTCGAGCATAGCCCAAGGCACAGTCTTAACTGCGTGGATCTATAGCCAACAACAGGGGTATGAAACATACAACCAACACGCAATTTATGAATATTTGAAGATGGAAGAAGAAGATCAAGGGTTATGAAGCTAACTAATCACGCTTAAAACCCATGCAAGGCACGGTCTGGGGCTTTTCTTTGACTCAGCCCATTGCCCAAGCATTTGAGAGACGCATACTGCTCAGATACGTGCCTGGACACAGCAGAAGAACAGCTCTTAAGCTTCCGGATATAGCAGCTTTACTAGATCCTGCGTAAGCTTTTCCTCCAATCCACATGGGACTTATTAGTTACTAAAACCAACATCCATAATCCGTAACTCGAGATGAGCCATAGATCATTTTATTCTGACGACAAATGCTCAGGATATATAGTCGGCGTTGCATGCATAGATTGCATACATACAAACGGGGTCAACACGTAACATGGAATGAACTAACTCAGTATACTAACTCTAAGCTCTTTGAGAGTAGATCCCTAGTACCATCTAAGTGCAAGAAACTAATCTATCCCAACTCACAACTCTACAACTCTCTCGTCGTCAAAACCCTTTGTATTTTCCAGTGTCGGCCCCTTGTAACCCAAAACATACCCCCTCTGATTCGCAACGACCTTCACACCACCCTTCTTAAACTCAGTCGTATAATGCGTATGACCAAACATCCAAACCTGCACTCCACGCATAAACTCCCTGGCCTGTATAACATCCGTTGAAAACGCCGTCTTATACGGCGCATTCGCATGTTCTGGTCTTGAAGACCCTTTCACACAGGGTGCGTGGTGCGTCACCACCAAGACATTTCTCTGAGATTCTGCTGGAAGGTTGTTGAGCTCGGATACCGTCTCTGTGAGATAGGCGAGATCCCGGGCGTGACACTCGTTGTGCTTGGCGACGGTCCAGTCTTTAATGAGCTTGTAGTCTGATACTCGGAGGGCAATGGTCTCAGCTGCTGAAGAATGGATATTCGACCATAATGTTGCGCCGATAACTGTGAGCTTCGAATTCGGATCGTCCCAGCGATTTCGATCCAAGATCACGAGTTTTCCCTTCAGAGACTCTTCTTTTTCTAGCTCCCTCGCCTTCTCAACACCGTCCTCATAGCTCATCTCATAGAACTCATGGTTGCCAAGAATTAAGAAAACCTTCTCGAAGCGCTCGGTTTGGCGTGCGAGGAAAGGAAGAAACATGTCGTAGTCGACTAAACGGCCGATATCACCACCAAGAATGAGAAAAGGTGCTTTGGCAGGGAAGTCAAACGTTGCGTATTGCCGATTTAGCTCCAGATGAAGATCCGACATGATCTGTACTGCTCGACCACATGGTTCTCGATGAGGAATCGCAGGGCCGAAGAGATATTCTGAGAGACGATTCAAGGTATCCATTGTGACTGAAACTGATATGGTTTGTATGATGATGAGAATAGGGAAGAACCCGTGAATTGAATGATATTGGCACAGGCTTCTCTTTGTGGTTTCTAGGACTCTTATATAGGACTTGGTCAGCCCTCCATGAACTGGTGGGTCTAGAATTGTAGCTGAGTGTCTTGAGGGCAGTGCTCTCTAGACCGGGGCCTCCAACGCCACGTCCATTCAGCCCCTGGGAATCTGCCTACGCTACCACGGAATCTAGTACACAATCAAGGGATGGCTGCATGAGGCTTAAGGCTTGCAGCTGTAAGAACCATAAATTAAGGTCAGGGCGATCACTTATGCATAATACCACCGAATGAGACATGCAACAAAACCACTTCTCTGGTCGTAGAATGAGGCGGTCCTCATCCTACATATATCATTAATGCAAAGGGCTCTCTGACATCTAGAGTAGAATGTAAATCCATCGTCTATCAGATCATCTTGACAAAGACCTCCCAAACCGTGTATGCAGCAGATTCCCCACGATGCGCGTGCCATATCCCTTTAGTACAATGTTAGACGAGTATTCCGACCATGGCGAAAGCAAAGTCAGGATGCTCGGGACAAAAACAAAACGCCGCACCCCCTTTTAAATTTCCCTGTCCCTGAATGTGCAATAATCCCTTTGACCTAGTCGAATGAAGTTGCTTATGCCCCTGAAGCGCCGTTGATGTTTGGTTGATAATCGCAGTGCTCGAATACTGATGATGATCCGTTTGTTGGATTCCACACTCAAGACAGCTCAAGTCTAAAGTGACCTAGTATGGATGTTCCCAACCGCCGGCAACGTCGACCCATTCTGCAAGACATGATCCTTCTTTGCCCTCAACATCGACAACGTCTGTATCACATCTGCAGCGACAGCCAATGCCACCTTCTTGTACGTCGTCCCAATGCTCCCAGTAGTCGTCTTCCTCAAATCTCTTATACTCGGGAAATGTTGTCTTTTCTAGGTAGGGCTCACGTGCGAGCTGTTTGCCCGGCGCATTTGCAGGGCAATGCTGAATCGTTGTATGTCGGTAACCAAAGTCTCGGAAGTAATGGATATCCTGGGGACCGAGAAGCGCGCCGGCGGCAAGGGAGTGAATAGGAGCATCGCCCCACTAAGGAATGTTAGCATCGTTACAAAAGGGGGGACTTTGGCTTGCATACTCGTTCCATCCAAAAGCCACCGCTTCTGTCCATCATTTCGAAGAAGTCCTGGTACTCCTTACTGCGAAACCAGCTGAGCTTCGCAATTTCGAAATTGGACCAAAAGTGGCACATATTATAGGTCTCTCCCTCCATTGACTCAGGGTCGACAATGTTCTCCTTTTTACCCGTGAGGGTATCCCAGAAACTCTTCTCGGGATTTGGTGAGGTATCGCTATCCTTAGAAGTGTCCTCGTCATCGTCCTCTGGTGGCTCGACGAACATTTCCCATAAGCCCTTCGATGTGATGTTGTTAAGTCGCTTGTAGGCGGAGGCGTATCGAAAGATATTGGGAACGGTCTCCCGAAGTTCCTTGACGGCGATTGTGAAGCCGTATGTCTTGTTGTGTTCGATCATCTTCTGGAAAGGGTCGCTGCAACTAGTTAGTAATGCGACTGCAACTGCGTCTGAAAGGAGCAAAACGTACTATGTGATATCGCAGAAGTAGCTGATCTCAGGTTCGACTCGCCAGTACCATTCGTACTTGAGTAATAAGGGGTGGTTGAAGAAGAAACTATTGCGCTGTTAGCCAGGCTATCCTTGATCACTAAGACAGCCTCAACCTACCCAGAGTAGAATCTGCACATCTTGTGGTAGCTCTCCAGACCTCCGTACATGACGGCAGCGTCGCCCTGCTTGGCGATGCCCTCTGAAGCTACCTTGGGGTCAATCCAATCGGGGAACCCCCACATGTCTGGTCCAACCTTTCCAAACTCAACATCTCCCGAGGTATGGTTTCTAACAGCCTCCTTGAAGTTGTCGTCGAAGTCACCGTCGTTGAGGAACACATAGGGGTAATGATACCAGCGATTGAAATGTCTCTCGACTGATTTTATGGATTGTAAAACACCATCGATCTCCTTGTTTCGCGCTAATATGACAAATGCGGCGTTGGCTCGAGGTTGGCTGGTGTCAGGCTGGGCGCAGCCCTCGACGAACACCTTATCGTACTTTTCGCTGATTTTCCTGTTTGGGCTGTTAGCTATCTGGTGTGATATGCCAAGCATGCTGATATCAGACTTACCGCATCTTGGGGGGAGCGCCCCCTGGTATCAGAAACCTGCCAGGGGAACTGGGATGGCTGACAAAGAGAATAAAAATAAGGATTAAAACAAGCATTGGAAAAAACACAACCACGCCCAGAGGTACGGAAATTGTAGAGTTCCCCTTTAATCGCAGAGGTCTCCGGAAAAAGGCCATGCGGGAATCGACCGCCTTATTATGTTTGGAATCCCTCTTCTCGTCGAGGGGAAGTTGTAGAGGAGGTTTGCTGGGAGCCACCTTGGTGGCCCTCCTGATCAAGTCCATGGCGAGGAAGATCCTACCACGGCGGTAGGTATTGTGATCGGTGGCAGTCGGGGTCTGGAGGACATGAAAAGCGCCGTGTCGTGGCGCCTGCGACGGCCGTCGAAGACAAGAATAAAGTTGTAGATATGGTCGTGGTCGAGGAATAGGAATAGGAGGCCAGGGATGAAGGTCGGTATTGGTGGATGGGGTAATTAACTTGTACGGTAGCCGTAGGTAGTTCGGTCGATCTTCAAGGTGGGACCGGGAAGTTGAAAAAAAAAACAAGGTAAATAAAAAAAAAATATGTCAAATGTGATCGCAGAAGAGAAGACGGTCGTGGTATCGTTGTCGTGGCTCGTGGATTTCGATGGTATCATCGCACGTCGTCCATAGACGTAGCATTGAAGGAGAAGCAGTCGTGGGATGGGATATTGGATCTCTAATAAAAGACAGACAGACAGACAGACAGGGAGACGAGACGGTCTGAATTAAGTAATGAGCGGCAGGGACCACTTCCCTGATTCTAGTGCAAGACAGTAGAAAATTCCACCAAAGTCAAAGCCAAAGAAAGACAAGACAGGCCCAGAGTTTGATCTAGCAAGCAAAAAACTACTGACGCGTGGACATGGTAGAGCTGGTCGGTGGGGCACAGACTCCTTGTCCTTGGCAGATGATAGCGAGAGATCACCAATGAATGAGGGAATCCATGTTATGAGTTACAGTGCACGTTCTATTTAAGCACGTATGTACATGTACAGTAAGGGCGGCAGAGACTGACTGACTCTTGTACTCAGACTAAGGGTCTTGGCCTTGAAAGGGATGCCCAAAAAAAGAATAAGATAGAGGCAAACAATAAGGGAGAAGACACAGACAGAGACAGATGGAACATGAGAGGGTGGGAAGTGGGAGCATGCAAAACATGATGGGGCCGTAGAGTAGAGTCTGTAGCTACTCCTTGGGGAGCAAGAAAACATCGGACCTTGATATAGGGTGTCAAAATAAACTCAGCAAAAGGTATCCTAAACTTATACTAAGTTATTTGAGTCTTTTTTATCATTTAGGATCAAGGCCCCGAGTTTTCTTCATCCCCTAGCCATTGAAGATAATGACTGATGTAGCAGATTAGGGAGGTACTATAGGTGTACTGTGCCTAGCTTGAGCTGTACCAACTGCAGTTATTCATGCACATTCATCAAGATCCCGGGTCGATACAGGGGCCACGGGCTCGTCTGTGAGCCAATAGCTTGCTCATCCTTTGAATCATGACAGCGTCGATCCAATCAAACACCAAACAAAAAGGACGGAACACTACCGGACACCGATATCAGGGCCCACGTTGAACCGGTACTGCACATGTCCCTGAATGCGTTTGATGCAAAATTGACTGACCTGAATGAAGAAAACGAAAACTCCCTGTAAGGAGAAAGATAATTAGATTTATAATTAGATTAGGTTCTCACATCCAGATTGTCACTTGACACTCACACTCACTACAGGTCCGTGTGGAGGCTTCTACGAACAAGCGAAAGCAAGCAAGAAGTTCAATTCAGGCCGCTCCAAGACCCACGTGTAACTTAAGTTAGCGCTTGCATGCAGCTGCACTATTGCTCAGAAGAGTCTAGGCTGGGGTTGAATCTTGGATCTTGAATCCGCTTCATCAGCAACGACCTGATCAACGAATCCTCCCGTCCGTCAAGAAGCCCGTCCCGCTGACAAAGAGCCGCAACCCAATCGCTTACGGCTCAACCAACCATAGCAGGCAGAGCTGTATCCAATCCGTTTCATGCATCACCAACAAACATGGCTCCCAAGATCAACTCAAAAAACCTGTCGTACGACACCGAGGCAGCAGCACCGCCATTTCTTGCTGCTCTAAGGGCTCAAGCTGCTGGCGCTACAGGCCCCAATCCACTACTTGCTGCCCAACGGAGGTCAGCTAAGAAGCGCTCTAGTAGTGAGGAAGCAGAAGATGTCCCGCTTGTCGTAGACGAAGACGGAAACGTTGTGAGTCTTGAAGTCGACAAGGATGGAGTTGTCAAAGATACTGGAGATTACGACGTGGAACCTGCAGCAGAGAAAGAAACCGCCAGAGAATCAGAGAGCAAAGCTGCTATTGGAGGAAGGAAACGAAAGGTTGGAAAAGTCATCGGTGAGGCGGCTGATGAGGGCAAAGGAGATGACAAGAAAAAGGAGAAGGATGATGCCGAAAAAGAGCCAGCAAAGAATCGAAAACCCAAGAAAAAGGCCAAAAAGATTAAGCTGAGCTTTGATGAAGATGAAGGTTGAACGCCATGCGTGAGCTCTACAGCACACATTTCCCATCCCTCAGAGCCAGCCACCATGGGCATCGCTATGGCCTGGCTCATGTGCATATCTGCGCCCGGCACAGACACTATCACGCCACTTTGATGCCCAGCATCAACAAGATGAGAGCCAATACTCCCACGATGTCAGGACTGCCGGTAAAATAATAGATAAAAGCTCGCCTGATATACGGTCCAATACTCGTCGTCTTGCGAATAGGCTTATCCTATTGGCAGTATTGGGTTTCATAACCGCAAATGGATGTTTCACATCCGTATCACGAAATGACATCACAATCCAGCTATATCCAGACTATGGAAGCCTGGAAAGTCATTTCCAATCTATACAAGCTCAATTAGATCAAACTGCTATTATCACAAACACAACAAGCCCAATATGTAGTCAACATCAACTTCTGGAAGCTAACTTAGTAAATTGACACAGGGAATAAAGGCACCCTAATCTACACAAAACGGCTCCTCTCCCCGGGGGCACCATGCACATCCATCTAGTTTTCCCTTAATGCTACGACCCAGTCTCCTCAATGCCTCTCAGCTCAATGTAATGCATTTATTTGTATCGGTACTCGGGCTTGATGTAATCGGCAAAGGTCTTGGGCTCCTCGAACTCAGGAGGGTGGTGGTGGTGGTGATCGTCCTCAGGACCGACGTAGTCCATCTTGTAGACGCTGCCGCACTCGGGGCATCGCTCGATGGGGCGATCGCGGGTGATCTAGAGTTATAAATGTCAGTATTTCACATCCGTCCGTCCGGAATTTCAAGGTCAAGACTCACGCCGAGCCAGTGGACGCTGTGAGAGTCGGCGGGGAAACCAGTGCAGCCGGCGAACTGCTCCTCACCAGCGGATCGGACCATGATGGGATCCTTCATCGTTCCGAGGCGGCTGGCGTCGAGAGGGCGCATGTCGAAGATGTCGACGCCCTCCATCTTACCGAGAATCTCGAGACGCTCGATACCGGTGGCCTGCTCGAGATCGGTAGGGACAGTTCCGGGGGCGGCACCAGGACCGAAGAGATCCTCCTCAGTTCGGACCTCTGCACACGCAAGCTTGTCAGCGATTGTCGTACGTCACGTCACGATCCATCGGCCGAGGTTACGGGGTGCCATTGAGGCAGTCGGCGGCGGCATTGTCGGGCAACATACCCTTCAGAGTCTTGTAAGAGCCGACCTTCTTCTCGGCGGTGCCAGCAAGAGCAGCGGCCTGCTCGTTGGGGGTGGCAGGACGGGCGGCATCTCCTGTAGCGGAAGCAAAAACACTAGTCAGCCATCATACGACGATCGCCATTGGCTGGCTGGAGGAGCAAAATGGGAATGCGTACGGCGGGCGAAAGAGGTGGTGAAGGTGCGAGCGACAGCAGGTCGGGCGGCGACGCGGCGAGCCGCAGTGAGGGCGGAGCGTTGCAGGAACATTCTGTTGATAGTTTGCGCCGGGCAATGGGGTCGAGCTTTGAGGATGACTCGGGATGGGCTGAGAGAGGTGTTGTCGAGGGATTTGTGAGGAATGGGCTGATTTGGGTCGAAGTTGGAAGATGGACCCATCTTTGCGAGCCAATTGGCCAATTGGAGTAGCTATATTTATGACCACGTGATCTATCAAAAGCTCCGGACCTTGACGTTCACCCAATTGTTAAGGCGAGTTTCGGAACGTCATCAAAAGTTTCAAGAGCTTGTAGGATGCCACAATTGGCATTGTAATGAGAAAGAATGGCTTCTATATAACGATACGGACTAACAGCATGCCAGTGAAGCACAATTTTAGCTATATGTACTCTTTGGGCCTTATGCTCGCTTTGTCAAAATCTCAGTACACTGCCTCCTGAGATCGTGTTCTTTGCCGAGGCTCACATTGCTTCTTACTCATGAGATTGATTAATAAATAGATGCCAACACTCTCTTTCCAAATCTTGACTTTATTTCAATCAACATCTCTCATTAGCGGTTGATAGTCGATTGGAATACGGTAAAAGATGTCTAATGATTTTGAAAGGACAAGTTTCACATGTACCAAACGTCTTTGAACAGTTGATTTATTCGAGACCTCTATCTCTCTATCATTAGGGCACTTAGAATAAGCTGGATGGTCCACGCATATATGTTTCTTTATGAGGCAGCAAGGAACCAGCCTAGGTAACCTGATAGCTGTGTCGTTGGGGCGTTGAGTAAGCCTTCAGGTGTATTGATTATTTGATGAACGAAACGTATTTTATCTGCAACGACTGAATTTATAATGAATCGTATATCAATTAGAGCAAGGAAAGATGCGGTTGGTCAAGCTTAGATGGACCGAGAAATTGGGTAGCCTTTGGTCCCAGCCATGGCCAAAGTTGCGTTTTGCAACGCAGAGATCCTTAGCCTCTCAGCTATCTCGACAGAGATGGTAAGATACAAGTTATATAGTATCATTCGCAATCTCAGCTATAATCTCTTTAGCTTCTTTCTGCACACTCTTGACAATATCACCAGCATCCTGCACATCATGTATAAGCCCAACAGCCGCTCCCGCGTACGTCGCTAACCTTCCTTCTGGCCCCCATCCCTTATCCCCAGACTTCAATGCCTCGTCATGCCTCTTCTTTAGTTCCTCAAATTCCACGCCTGCTTGGTGATCGTGGAAGCTCTGGTTGATGATACCCCGTGGGCTATACTGCTCTGGCCAACCCATAGTGCCCCTGAGATGATTGTAGAGCATGGTTCTGGTGGTGCACTGAGCTCCATCCTTAGCTCGGATAATTTCTTGTTGGTAGCCTTTGCTGATACGAGTTTCGGTTGCTGCTAGGAAGCGGGTGCCCATAACGACACCGGTTGCACCAAGTGAGAGGGCTGCTGCCACGCCTCGACCATCTGCGATGCCGCCGGCCGCGAATAGAGACACGCCCGACTCACGGACTTGGTCTGCGATCTCAGGAAAGAGTGTCATTATGCCCAGACCGTCGGTGGCTCGACCATGGCCGCCCGCTTCTGCGCCTTGAATGATCAACGTATCTGGGCGATGCGCACTATTGGCCACTTCAATACTCTCTTGGACAGTGCCGATTTGTATCCAGACCTGTATCTCCGGATGGGCTTCTCGTATGTGAGACGTCCACTCATCAAGCTCCTCTTGTCCTCGACGCGGCGCAAAGAGCCATGCGGCACAGGGCTTGTGTTCTTGCACAGCACTAACAGCAGCCTTGAGATCGCCATTCCAGAGCTGAAAGCCAACACCGACAGGAAGGGTATCCTTGGATGGAAATGCTAACGGCAGAGTCTGTGGAGGTGAACTGCGTAGCAAGTCCCTCACTGTAGCTAGATCCTTCGACGTATCTTCAGGCTTCGCGCCTGGCCCAATGAACCCAAGACCTCCAGCTTTGGAGACCGCAAGGGCTAGGTGAGGCCCTGACATGACGCGCATTGGGGCGCCGATGATGAAAGGTGAAATGGTCCATGGGAAATGGCTCAAGAAGCGAGCCTTACTGGCTTTGGTGATCGCGTGAGCAGTACTCATATCGGGATCTTGTGCTCTTGTTCTTCCAGTCAGTCAGATTTGTTTTTGATCGATGGTATTGTCTTACTCGCTATTCAGCGTGGCATTCATCTTATGCACTGAGTAGTTGGAGGTTGGAGGTTGGAGGTTGGAGGTTGGAGAAAGCTACATTCATGTGAGCGCAGGAAATGAAAAATTAGCTGAAATAAAGAGTTTGAGAAGATGTGAGCAGTTCATCTGCAACTTACTGTATTTCGGTAAGAACCCGAAATCATATGAAGAGATCAACTTCATTACGAAAGACATCGCTTCCATTCCGACATACCCGACATACCCGATCATCGAATTCCACGAGAGCATTATGGGAATAATGGTTATTGTTTGTCCCACCTGAACGAGTTGGTAAGTGGACGAGAGTGAATCTGCATATTTTGATCAAGTTACTAGTTAGGTATGGACTTTGGCGTGGGTTGTTTACTGATATAAGATTAGAGAGGTAACACAATCATTGGTCGCAGATGTCGCCTTGACATGCCACTGACAAGATGTCCATCGAAAAGTCATCTCAAGTCGTACGAAGGATTATATTAAAGTTATGTACGCACCAGAGCAGGTAAGCATGCGTAGCATTGGTGCAAATATGCGTGCAGCAGCTCAACACCCCCCAAAAATATCCATATCTCGGCAAATTGTTGCGCAAACTCTCCCCAAATCCGAACGTGCCAATGCGCAAACGAATAGACCAGTGGCATAACACTGGCCACCATCATCATTATCCTGTCTTGCATCTGCCATCCGCAGAGCCTCGCACGTCCTCCATCTTCCGAAAGTGGCCCATTAGTTGAGACTTAAGATTCTCTGACGCGGTAGAAAGAAGGCTGTATGGCTCTGGAACACGAACCAGCTATCAAACTAGTATGCTTTTACCCCGCGATAATTGAAGATAAGAGTGATGTGAATTTAGAGCTTTGAGCTATCCCTCTGCTGTTGTTGTGCTCGGTAAGCGTTCACTCCTCCGTATGTCGACGGCTGAGCTGACCTCTTCTGGCGCTTATCAGACCGACTGAGAGCTGGCTCTCGACTGAGCGCCGACGGAGTTGGGTGGACTTTCGAGCGCCGCCGGGTGATGCGCCCAATACCGGTTGTGTTGGTCTTGATCTTGGTGATCCTGTTTTTGTCCCCAGGCTTGCGGAAGCTGGCCAGGCGGCCCTGGTAGCCAGCTGAGCGTATAATGGCAGCGCGCAACTTGGGGTCCTCGTAATCCTTAGAGGCGCTCTTTGAACTCGAGTCCTCACAGATGCTGAATATAATTCTTTTGATTATATCCCTGCCACTCTGAGCAGACATTGTGAACATCGACTGTATCTTCTTTGCAATACGCCAACGGAGGAAGTCCCAGGGGCCCATGGCAAGTTCCCCTTTATGACGCAGAACTCGCAAGTCAGACACCTTACAAGCAAGCTTATACATCAGTTCCTGCTCACATAGTCCATCTGTTGGTAGGTGATACTTGGAGACCAGCTGATTCGGATGGTATGGTGAATCATGGCCGAAAATTTCGCGGATCTTGCGCTGTTTAGACACATTATCCATATGGAGCTTGTGTTTCTTAGCAAGATCTTTGTTATGGGGGTCGAGCCGGAGTCGTTCCTTTGAATCTCTCTTCTTCTTTTCTTCTGATTCCTCTTGTGCTAGGTAGGTTTCAAGAGAGAGCCATCTCGGCATCCAGTAGTCGCTGTTTTCGGTGATCTTTTGCACAGGGGTGCCAAGAAGGCATTGTGGTGAAATGTACTTCTGGCCATCTGGGCTGATGCGGTAGACGTCGCTCCAGGGTGTGTGAAGCATCTCAGTCACGACTTCAGGTGGCACAGCCGTCCCATGGCTGTGAGTCAGGCTTTGATCTCCCATCTTGCCTTAGTAGACAACCAGCAGCCTAAGTTAAATCCTAGAGTTAGCAACTCCTACCAGAACAAGCATCAGGCCAATTACTTACCTAAGGTCAAGGGTAGTAAGAGGACAGCAGTTACTGCAAGCAGGAGAGAATCAGTATAGGCCAAGGCAGTAAACACAACTAGACAAGAGTAGTTCAGTGGATAATAGAAATAATAGAACTAGTTCAAGAGATGAAACTTCTCGTCAGGCCCGAGACAAGCGTCAAGACCAGAATATCGAGAGGCCAAATGAGGTTATTAAATCCTTGACTTACTTTGAAAGCTGGTGATGAAGTTACTTCTGGATAGGAGGCGTTGGGTGATATGCAAATCGCGATGTGTTTAAGAGAAAGAAGTTATAGAAGATTAAAATCTTCGGCGGTGCTCCTTGAAATAATAAAATCCAGTGGTGTAAGAAGAAGGTGCAGGATAATCTGCACCTATGCCAAGCAGATCAAGGGCGACTGGCAGTGAATCAGAGCCTTTGATGTTATGCTTATGCCTCCTTTATAGACCAGATCGCCGTGCAGTGGTGAACAGTGAACTCCGAAATAGAGAGTGCACTAGCTGGTAAATATCTGTGTTCTGAGGTTTGTTGTAGTTTATGATAGTAATTCCAGCCTTTTTCTTGTTTGACTGCTGAAATCCTTTTCTGGCTTGGTGCTGTTGATGGCAGAAGATAAAGGAGTTGTCGATATCAAGAAAGAGATCAAATGTGATAAGTGCTCACGATGATCTCACACTTGGAGGATTCTGATGGGAAGGAGCCTCTCGATGCAGGTCACTGCCACGGCAAACAGGAGACAATTATAAGATATGCTTTGCCTTTAATGTTTGTTTTATTTTGGGCAAACACCGCAAGTAGCTTGATCTTGATGAGCGACAGCTAATGGTGCGTGAACTATTGAGATTATACTCTATGCGATATAAGGAGTTATATGTCTCCAGGTCGCATTAAAGCTATTTAGTTCCAAGACTAGAAGCCTCTGAACAAGAGCTCTTAATTATATTTATATGTATTGTATTATACTGATATTGTATTATATTATTATAGGGCTGTAATTATCTTATATATAAGGAATCGTCGGCAGCGGTAAACTTGAGTTTATCTGCTGTTTCCCCTTTCGCGTGTATGAAAGACTTGGTCAGGTGCTGTATGGAGTTTAATGAAGACGTGGTATCAAGTCTTAGACAGATTAAAGCGTGCGGTCAAGTATTCCTGAACTAGAACGCATAGCGACGAAAAGTACGCCATTAAAAAGATGCAGGTTCAAAGAAAGCTTGGCCATGTGCGAGATGAGGCATTATATAGCTATCTGACTGAAAGTCTAGAACGTTCCACGGTTTTGATCTACGTTAAGCGATATGCATCTGAGAACAACAAAAGGACTAGATAACCGCTGAGTGTAGCAAAGAGCAAATAGGCTGAAGCAACAGAAATGCCTGACAATGAAATTTCGGTCTACTATAATGGAGAACTTACAATTTCATGTTACACAAAGCGTGGTTTGAACTCGTTTTATTGTATTAGTATATGTATTGGATAAGCATTCACCAATATGAGATAGGTCAGCACCAGGGGGACCTCGTCGTCTCGGCTGTGATAACAAGCAAGAGGAAGAAACGAAGCTGATGCGACGGCGAGCTTCTCGTCCCGACCACAGGTGAACGTCCTGGGATCGAGGGTCAGACCCAGATGATCACTCGTTTCGCGCTATGCCGGGGTTCCCAACAATTGAACAATCTGGGCCTTCTCAAGGTAGTTTTTGTTACCGTCTTTGGTGTTTCCATGACAAAATCTTGATATCGCTAATAATGTTTGCCTCCAGCCACGTCTCGTCAATCGCACATCCTACAGCTTTGTCTCTCTACCAGGTTTGGCCGTCATAGGCAGTATAATGCCATCCTGGTAGCCAGTCGCAACATGCTTGCCTTTAGGACTCCATATCAGGCTTTCCATTGCGCCTCGACCAGCACTGAATCTTGGCCACGAGACTTCTTGCATCCACCATCCGTCCCCTTCCATCACAGCCTCGTCAGCATTGACATGAACGTAGAACGAATAACTCAGGCTTGCCGCGATGCCCAGGTCGTGGCCGTAGCCTAGATGGTTGCCTAGCATGAAAAGACTGTTGCGGTCTGCCTCGAATGCATGACACAAGATGTGTGCGTTCGTGTGTTGATTCGGAAGAGGTTTAAGTAACCGGTAGTAGATCAGTTCTCTCCGGTCTGGTATAGCCCTGTCTTTGTTAAAGTCTGACATGTCAACTTTGTACATGTCGAGGATAGGGAATGCTCCGTGGCCTTCATTTGGGAACTTTGCTTTTAGAGCATCGACGTCGGCCTGTGGACATGGATTCCACTGATCAGGTTTGCGTGATGAGAGTATGTCTTTGAATCTCTCCTGTGGCGGAATCCCTTGGACCTCATCGGAGCTAGAAACCGGGCGTTTGAAAGTGACGATACTGGTTAGACAAGGATTTCCAAGAGGTGCTTCGGAGTCCGAGTCGGGAAACGGACCCGATAGGTTGCTTGATGATTGTGTTGGCTGACGAGCGTGAACTAGCCGCGTGGAAAAGGAACGGCTTGAATGGACTTCGGATACATCTAGGATGAAAGGGCGATCCGTGAGTCCGGGGTTGGTGAACACGGCGTGGATGGACTGAAGAGAATAAGTCTGTGTTCATCCATAAATAAATCTAACTTACATGGATCCCTCGTCTGTTCTCGTCTACATTGCCATGGTCTTCTTCTTCGACTACACGGGTCGCTGCAAGAGCTGATAGAGCATATACGACAGCGCCATAAGCTCCCCTTGTGATCTTTGGCGGAGGAATACCAACAGCATCCCAGGGGAGTTCTTGTCCGGGTGTCCAAGCTGGCTGCCGACTCATGAATCTTTGGATTGCTTGTTGTGTTGACGATGTATCATCCGGAAGTCTGGCTAGCTCCAAGGCTTCTTGGAATGAGAGTCGCTTCCATTCTTTCGGCGTGCTCATTGAGCTTGGAATTTCGGAGCATGTAACTTCAAGGTAGTGTCTCAAAAGATTAAGCGAACGACATCAGGTAATGAGAAAGTCTGCAGGTAAT